TCCCTTCTAGAACATGCATCCCCATTCAAACATGAATCCCTTCTAATATGAATCCCTTCTAGAAGCAGAATCCCTTCTAACATGAATCCCTTCTAGAACATCCAGAACCCCTTATAACATGAATCCCTTCTAGAACCAGAATCCCTTCTAATATGAATCCCTTCTAACATGAATCCCTTCTAGAACATGAATCCCTTCTAGAACTAGAATCCCTTCTAATATGAATCCCTTCTAACATGAATCCATTCTAGAACATGAATCCCTTCTAGAACATGAATCCCTTCTAAGGAGAATCCCTTCTAGAACCAGAATCCCTTCTAGAACCAGAATCCCTTCTAAGGAGAATCCCTTCTAGACCATGAATCCCTTCTAAGGAGAATCCCTTCTAACATGAATCCCTTCTAAAGAGAATCCCTTCTAACATCAATCTTTTCTAGAATGAATCCCTTATAGAGCCAGAATCCCTTCTAGCATGATTGAGCAATTAATCGAGGTAAGGGGGAGAATGGATTTCAATATGGGTGAATTAACATGAGAGGGTAGTGAGAGGTCCTTTCTCTCATAGGAATTATGTGTTCTTGAGGATTCTTTATCTAATTTTCGTAGCATGATAAATTCCATAAAATTGTTGCTGTTCTTGAATGATTATTGTATGGGGAGTATTACTTTTCGTAGTTTTCTATGTATACCTTTCAGTATGTTGTGGTGATGTAAGGTTTAGGGATTTGGGTAAATATGTAAGAATGAATGTGTTATATACGATGCTCTAAAGTTTCCCTAAGGTTTAGAGATTTGGGTTATTTGTGGGAAATAGGGAGGTAACCGTAAGAATATGAGGTTATGATCAAATGGCCAAAATGATATGTATCGTTGAATATTAATATAGAAAAAACTTATGGGAAATTGAACCTTCGTGGCCAGAACCTTGACATTGTTATATGTCTGACCCTGAAGGGATTGAATATTAGATAGTGAGTAATTTTAATGTCGTAGGGTGTAATTGAAGGAAAAATTGTAATATGTTGTCCTATAGGAATAGGAATATTCAAATGTGGGTAACTCTGAAGTACTTAGAGCAATTGCAGGAAATAGTGTTTTATGTGTTGCAAATGTTGCCAGATGAGCCTAATAAACCATAGAAGTTGTGCAGTTATTGCCGTATAACCTTAGGAATGTTTTAGTGATATTTTGGGTGCTTTGAGTAAGTGATTCGCAAGAATAATTGGGTGAATATCAGTTCCGGAGCGTAACAACGTCTTTCTGTCTGTCACAGATGTTCATGTTTTCGGTCAAAATTGTTTTGGACGTAACTTTGGATCCGTAAGTCCGTTTTGATCCCCGTTCAAAGCGTTGGAAAGCTAATGAACAGAGCTATAACATAGGATAGATAATGAAATTGTTTTCCCAATAATTTTATATCTAATTATGTTTGAGAAGTCAATTGTGCATATGTTTTAGTAACGAATCATGTTCTGGTTCAATGATGTCTTGGTGTTTTGATAGATGTGGGCCAAGATGGTCGAATGTGGACAATCTTGTGCGATTGTGGTAATTCCCGAGAGGATTACGGTGAGCGGATGGCTCGTGTGGATCAAGATTGATTGTGAATTATGCATGATGTATTACATTGCATAATTGTGTTGACATGCATTTTATATCATGTGTCTTGTGGAGATGGCTAGGTGGGAATCCATGATGGGTGCCTAGTTTCATCCGGACTTCAATGTGGAATTCGTTGTGGAGATAAGTTGTAGTTCAGAGGAACGTATATACGACTTATCCGGATTTCGACGGGAATCGGATTCTAGTGTGAACCGTATGAGATTGTGTTGGTACCACATGCATTGTGTCAAGTCAGTGAGTCGCATTGCATTATTGTAATTGAATGTGGGCTATTAGTTCCAAGTGATTGAGTTGGCACGTGTATGTGCGTTAATTATGTATGATTGTATGTGTGGTGTGTAAATACTCCTTAGCATGTGTATTTCACCGTTTATTTATTGAATGTAGTTCTCACCCCTTTTTGTTGTTGTGTTTGTGCTCTCTTGGGAGTACAGGTGACCAGGTACCTGAGTAGTGCTTGGAGTGTGTTGCTATTTGATCGAGTCTTAGGAGTCTCTCTGATACGTAACATGGGATGACGGGATTACGTTGTTATTTGACTACTTTATTTGTTTATTGTTACGTATCTTCATTTGTTGGACTTATGTTGTATGACCTCATGTCGAGGAGAATTATATTGGAGAATTGATTTGTATTCCGCTGCTTAATTGAAAACTAAATAATATTGAATTATTTTAATGGAATGAAGTGACTTAGTATGATATCCCACAGTGTTGGAAAACTCTGATAAATTTTAAGAATTATTTTTTTATATTTATTATATTACGTGTACGGGGTAAAGTGGGGTGTTACAAGGGAGGCATTTGAAAACAGGTGGAGTCAAGGGTGGTTGAAAAATCATAATTGTAGGCTTGTTAAATTACTTAGGAACAAAAGGCTAATTGGGACAAATGGATTCAAGTTGCGAGATCAAGATTCAAGGGTTGCTTGAATTTGATCAAAGTTATTGATTAAAGTTTTTAACTTGGTAGAGAGCAGCAATGTTGTTGATTTTTAAGTTGGTAACACGGTTTAAAGTCAAGGTGGAGATTGTTGTAAATGTGCTTTAAAACCTTTATTGATGAAGAAAAACAAAATATATTTTGGAGATTGCATTTACAGCGAAAATTGGACGAAAAGTCGTGAAAAAAAATCGGGCAGTGAATAGTATTGTCCGTGCGGTGAATAGTGTTTTCAAGTTTTCAGGCTTTTTTCGATTCGGTCCATGGATCCATGTGATTTTGGGCTTTGTTTGTTGGGTATTTTCTATTATAAATAGGTATCTCTTATATGTTTGGCGTGTGACAATCTTAGAGTTTTCACCAACAAGGGAGACCAAGGATTTAAAGGTATAGCATAGGATTTCAGCTATGCATAAAGAAAACCTTGGATTATACCTTGGGTTTGAGTGATTTATATATTGAGAGTTGGAGAGGTAGGGAAACACTTGGGTAGAAAATAGGGTTGTTCTTGGGTGCCTTCAGGGTTGTTCTTGGGAACTTGAAGGCGAAGGTTATTTTCTTGTAACTCATCTATAATCTCTTGTAAAAACTTTCTGAGTATAGTGGATTGAATTGCTGCTCTCTCCTCTAGAGTTGATCGTTTGATCGAACTGGGTAAACAAACCTTCGGTTTTTTCTTTCCTTATTATGTTATATTATCTAAGTAAGGATTATTATTACTGTAGACCATTTATTTTGGTTGTTATTGTTCTTTGCCTCACAAATTGATATTGAATTTTATCGTAATTTACAACAAGATTCACAACAATAAGAATAACAACAAAAATAACAACACGAACAACAATTAAAATTTTAAAAAATAGAATCTTTAAACAATAACATTTTACCTATAGAATCATTAAACATGAACAAACTGTAACACGTTAAGGGAAGCAATGTTTCTGAGTTTCGTTTATGGAAGAAATGATGCTTGTAAGTTTGGTTTAATGGATGAATAATGTTTCGTAAATGGAAGAAGTTTGGAGGTAGAAGATAAACTTTGTCTAAGTACGTCTAGGGCAAAAGTGAATGAACTAAGAGCGTTATATATATCTTTAAAAAAATGTGCCACCTATAACCACAGTTGATTTAAATACCCATGGTGAGAGGTTTGTCACCTATAACCACAGTTGATTTAAATACCCATGGTGAAAGGTTTGTCACCTATAACCACAATTAATTTAAATACCCATGGTGAAAGGTCTATCAGTATTTTTAAAAATAAGTAAATAATAAAAAATGTTGGTGTTGGGATTTGAAGCCATGACCATACGCCCCTTTTCACCTCGGGTATTAAATCAAGTGTGGTTATAGGTGGTTAAATAAAATTTTAAAAAATGCATGCGCCTAAATATCAAATATTACAATGATTGATTGAATATTTGTAGTAATATGAGTCTGATTATATGTGTTTTCCGTAGTAGTGTGTCGAGCGCTACATTTAATAACAATTATCTCAAACAACCATGGTGAAATATATTAAGGTCATGGGTTTGATTCTTATCCATAACATGATATATAATAACTGAGGAAATATATTAACCATGGTGAAAGAATCTTTTTTTAATATCTTTTTCAATTATTCCATATAGGCCCCCTTTTTTTAGGACTTGTATTTTATACGTTATATTTTACCACAACAAAACCAGCAAATACGCATATCTTTGTAACCAAAATATGACTTATATATTTTCGAAAAACCCAAAAATATAGCAAACATATAATTACAAACTATGGCTATACCAAAATGTAACCAACCTAAATATTATTTACATCTAACACAAAAATATAGAAAACTTATATTACAAACTCATGTGTGATCAACCTTACCTATAAAGAGCATTGAAGAAAAATGCTCAACGTATATAAAAGTCTTTAAAGTCTTCTTGTGAGAATGATGTAGTGTAGTTAAACAATACAAAATTAATAATTTTCAATGATACAATAAAAAAACACAACTAATATTTGTTATTAGTATAAGAAAACACAAAACAAATACATATCACTCATACATGAAAAGTGCAAGACAATTATTTTTTGTTGATTAATATAAAAAAATACTACAAAAATATTTATATATATAAAGACACAGCAAACAAATATTTTAAATCGATAAATATAAAAAAAAAAAAAAAGGAAAATACTTCTATAATGTATAAAAAAAACAAGATAAATATTTGAACCACAAAAGTAAATCCGCTTCAAATCAAGTGGCAATATAAATCAAACGATTTCTTCATAAAATCATAACAAAAAAATTTGCATGAAACGATGATATCATAGAACTGGATCCAAAATCCATTACGATATAAAAAATATAACTTTTTATTGATATGATAACAAAGGAATACATGAGAACAATGCTATAACAACACAACATAAGCCATATGTAACATATCAAGCACGTTTAAAGGAAGTGAGGTTCCTTAAGTGCTTCCATGGCTGATCCCACACAACGGCTTCATAGTTGTTAGATGATGAACCGTCTTTGGCAGAAAGAGTGAGGCGATAGTTGGTCCCAGAAATGACCTGTGATTCACCCTTGATAAGTTTCTCAAACTCCAACGTTGCTCCTTTTTGCTTGTCGTACTCGACGACTGCGAAACGAGCTATTTCAATCACGTATGGATCAGTGATGTTCTTGATTGGACTCCAACCGCCTGGTATAGCTTGATTCATGTTGACAGAAGCCAACAAAATAAGGAATAGGAGAACAAGGGATTCAAATCTCATGATGTTTGTTTGGTATTTTTTTCAAGCTTGAGAAATCAAGATGGTGTGAGATAGACTTTATGGACTGGTGGAGTAGTTATATATATGTACAAAAGTTATGCCATGTTTGGTAATATACTTTTTTATTCATTGAAATAAATTAAAATTTTCATTTGATTTTATTTCATGAAAATAAATTAAATATCTTTTTGACCAAATAAATAAAGTCTCTTTAAATATTACCTTCATTTAATAATTATTTTTTAAGTTTATTCAATAATCAATGCATTTGGTCAGTTTATAGATTAGATACATATTATTCAATGAATTTAAAAATGAGTTGTCTTCTATATAAAGGAATGAAAGAAGTAATATATATATATATATATATATATATATATATATATATATATATATATATATATATATATATATATATATATATATATATATATATATATATATATATATATATATATATATATATATATATATATATATATATATATATATATATATATATATTATTTAATAAACCTATAATTGATTTTATAGAAAAGTATGGTAAAAAAGTATTATATTTAATGTTTCTAGGAAGATGTCGACAAAAGTATTATTAATTGATATACTAACAAATGTCATACAATGTTTAAGTATTTTTTTTATAAAAAATATTTATATAATAGGTTGTTCTTTGTTTTTGATTTTATCTTTATTATAAATATTTATTTTTTATTTTTTAAGTATTAATTATAAATATTTTTCTCATATATTTTAGGATTAAATACACAACACCCCCTGCAATATAGGCGAATTTCAGTTTATTCCTCTGTAAAAAAAATTGAATCCCCATTGAAATGTTAAAATTATATGTCTTTTGCCCCCTAAGCGTCAAATTACCCCCTAAAAAATTGCACGCTTGGGTGGAGTGGGGGGTGAGTAAAAGAAAAAAACATATATTAAAGGGGAGAATCCAAAAAAATATAGTACATGGGGTAAAGCGAAACTCACCTACATTGCAGGGGGTATTGTATATTTTATCATATTTAACATGCACTTTCTTTGTAGCAATGAAAGATCCATTCCATGCTTAGTTTAATTTTTATGAGTTTAATGATAGTACACTGTCAGTGTAAAAAAGTAATACACATATATCCAATTAAAATACTTTAAAGTGTCAAATCATATAAGTAATTTAAAATTTATAAGCTGACATGACGAGATGCATAGTTTTTATTGGTTGACAATGTAAAAATTATTTGCACAGTATCGCGGCGGAAAATATTATTGAGATTAAACTATTGATTAACTTAACTTGAAAAGTAAGAGTCGCCATCGAAATTTATCGTTTCCAAAGGAAAAAGGGAAAAGGTCGAACAAAACTCACAAAAGTAAAAACTAAAAGAGAGATCTAGATACTGAGGTTAGTTATGTAATGGAAAGATATTAACACCCCTCACATCTGTTGTAGTCAATTGAAACCACTTGCAAATCTGTGTTTATAAAAAACTGGATTGTTTGTTGATTGTTCTTAATTGAAAATACATTTTGTCGTATTCGAGTGGAAAACTCAACTTACTACCCACAAGTATGAGGAAATGAGCATTTGCATCATCTTGATACGGAGAAATTTTACTTGGACTTTCTCATAAACACATCTCAACATTCAAGTGAAAAATGTCAATCATTTCTCAGCATCTTGTAGAAGTATAGTGGTTTGCATCACTACAAGAATAGACTAACATCCAATCTTTTAAAAAAGGCTGTTAAAGAAAAGTGCCCAAAGGCACAAAAGACCTTTGATGAGGTTTGTCTTTTTAGAAGTTTGAAAGGAGTTTGAATATGCTTAAGTGTTTTACATTCATTAAGAAAAATATTTTATGGATCACTTGACAAAAATCAAGGTTTATTAAGAATGAGGTATGAAGTTTAAAAACAAGAACTTTTTGAAATAGGGAGAAGTTTTGAAAATTCAAGAAGTGGGAAGAAGAAAAGACTATCCTAAAGCATAAAGTAAATAGTCTCATTGTAAGGTACCCCAATAAAAATCTTTTGTGTATGCATGTGTACTAACCATAAGATGGAGCAAGCATTTAACATTGGTTAAAACAAGCATTCCTTTCCCATTGAATTAAGCCACAAGATGAACAAGCAACGTGAGCATAGGTATATTAAAGAAAATCAGGTGGACAACCAAGTCACCAAACCACAAAGAGCATCCAAGTATTAAGATGAAGATCACAATGGTCCATAGGAAGCACTATGTCTCAGATGAATCACAAAGTCTCAGATGCCACTCCAAGCAAAGAAAAATACTAAGTCCAAAGGTCAAAGGCCCAAAATACTCATCAAGTAAGGGATAGTAACACAAAGTCCATAAGATCAAATTAAAGTTTTTTAAGGTTTTATCCATTTTATATTATTTTTGTTCTTTTGAAATAAGAAAGCAATAAAGCATAAAGTAAAAAAAAACAAAAATAAAAGGCAAGAATGTAAAAATGACATTAATGTAAATGTCATAAAAGTAAATGACATAAAAGTAAAGAGCATAAAAATAAATGTTAGATGTTAGCACAATTAATATATCAATGTTAGTATTAATGAGAATTTAATCGAGTCAGGACAATTTAGCGCTATGTTAACTAATCGTAAGTGGACTTATGCAGAAGTCACACCTATCTGAGGCTGGTCAATAACAATTTATGTGTCAAACATGTTAGTGAACTAACACAGTTAGTCTCCTAAAACATGTAACGCAATAGTAAAAAAAAATCAAAAAGAAGAAGAGAAAGATAATAGAGGAGATAAAATGAATACTCAAGCAATCACATAGGGATCATCTATCAACAAGTCAAAGAAATCAAAACATGTTCACCAAGGGATAACCTATCTCTGATGCAAAGTGCCATAGATGATCAAATGATCATCCATTAAGTTTGAACCAGAAAAGGTTCAATCTACCAAGGGATCATTAACCAAGGACTTGAGAAGTTGAAAATATGTTCAACTAAGCAATCATCAAGAGACCATGTCAAGACATTACAAAATTTGAATAAAACCAAAATAAAAAAGGATTTAAAATGGAAACTATCAAGAAATTTTCAAAGATGAATCAAAACATCAAATAAATGGTTGAGAAAATTATAAGAAGTAAAAAATATTGCAAATAAAGGGATCTAAAAAGTTGGAGTGAAAAATATTTCAAAATGATCAAAAATAAAATGCAAAATGAAAATTTAATGAAAAATGAAAGAAAAATAAATTAACTGAAAATGATTTTTATAAATTATGAAAAAAAAAATATATGTGATAGAAAATATTTTTTATGATTTATGAAAAAAAATTAGAGTTAAAAATAAAAAGGAGCTATTAAAAATAAATCATAAAAGAAAAATATAATAAAATGAAATAAAAGGAAATATCCAACGGCTAGCTGCATGGCACACTATGATTGGCCAGGATTTGAATTTTTCACCAGAGCGTATGAAGCTTCACTGTCTTTAACTTTCATATTAATTTTACAAATCTATGAACTTGTTTTTTTATAGCCAAAATCAAGCATGGATTCAAGTGCGCAACACTTCATCGTTCACGTCTTTTTGCATCAGAGCCATTGATTAGCTTTGAGCAGAGAGAGTTTTCTCAAGAACATAAAGAACCCTAGTTTTTATAATTAAAATTGAATGATTAATATGAAATATAAATTCAAAGTAGTTGAAGGTTTTCAATCGCTGAATCAAGACGAACACACTAGTAACTTGTTTGCTCAAATTGTTTACTTATAGCTGCCATTTCAGTTGAAGCTTCAGAGGTCAATAACGGTGGAATCGAGTTGAATGTTGAAGGAAGTGTCAAGCCACAACAATTCTTCGGTTAGCTTCAAAGGAGGCCGATGAGTGATTATGGGCGAAGAAACAAAGCTAAAAGAGCGTGAATCAAAGAAATGATTGACTAGTTTTTTGAGGTATCGAGCTCAATTGGTTGTAGAGTTTCTTTCGCTTTAAAAGCTTGCAAGTGAAGGAAAATCCACCCTTTATTTATAGAAAATGAAATAAGGTTATGGTACGTGTGAATTGGAGGCAAGCTCGTGTGAATTAGGGTTGAGTTTTGGTGTTTTGCAATCTGTGTGAAATGAAACATGAAATGCATGAGTTTGTGATAAAACTAAGTCGTTTTGCACTTGTTCAAATGCACTTCAATATAAAAAACAAGTTTGCACATGTGATTATGGTCCCAAGTGAAGATTGGCATGAAAATCATGACCTAAAACTAACCAAGAAGCGGAGCTCAAGGTACCATGTCTGAAGCTAGGCCAAAAGAAATTCACTCATGCATTTTTTAATTTTCTTTGTGCCAAATGTTCTCATCATTGCAAAGAATTAGATGTAAAAAGAATCACACCAAAAGGATGCTTGGAATAAAAATTACATTGATTCAAAGTTGGGGTCGTGGCCTGAAATTTCAGGTCAGGCATTAGGTCGACCAGGTCTTGGGCTTACTTTTTGCACACATGGGCAGCTGAGCAAATCCCAAAATTGATGGACTTAGAGGTTGAATTGCTGTTTGAACCTTGAAACAAATCTATATAATAGTTCAAATGTGACATTTGGCTCAAATTAGATTCCAAAAATGTTGAGAAATGAAGAAGTTATGGTGTTTGGACCAAGTGACATGCCATACTTGACTTTAGGCCAACCAAACATGTGCCAACTTGAGATTTCTTGCTATTTTCTTATATCGAAAGGCCCAATGATGAACACTTGAATACTAAATGAATGATGCTTGATTGTCCTTTGAATATTTTTTTATGATTGCTTGAAAATTGGATGAAGATGGCATGAAAATAAACACATGAACGATAGTTGAATCAACTTTGAAAACATGCACCAAATTTGAACTTCTCTTGATCAAATGCTGTTGAATGAAGATTGACATGTTTGTGAACTAAGATTATATGACATGCCTTGAAGTGAAAGCTCTTGTGAACCATTTATTGACCAAACTTTGAATTTGTGAATTCA